GTTGTTTTTTTTCCCGTTGTTTTCCCCATTGTTTTCCCGTTGTTTTTCCCATTGTTTTTTTCCCATTGGTTTTTTTCCCGTTGTGTTTTTCCCATTGGTTTTTTTTTCCCGTTATTTTTCCCGTTGTTCCCAGACCAAGGGGTTTGTGACGCTCAGCGAGATCCGGCAGAGCCTGGGCTGGGAGAGCGAGAGAGCGGAGCAGGTGCTGGTACGTGGGGACGGGAATTGTGGAATGGGAACGGGGGAATTATGGGAATGGGAATGGGAAAATTATGGGATGGGAATTATGGGAATTATGGGATGGGATTGGGGGAATTATGGGATGGGATTGGGGGAATTATGGGAATGGGAACGGGGGAATTATGGGATGGGATTGGAATTATGGGATGGGGATGGGAATTATGGGATGGAGATGGGATTGGGAATGGGAACGGGGGAATTATGGGATGGGATTAGGAATTATAGGAATTGTGGGATGGGAACGGGGGAATTATGGGATGGGAATGGGGATAGGATGGGGATGGGAATTGTGCGATCGGGATGGGATCGGGAATGGGAACGGGGGAATTATGGGATGGGATGGAATTATGGGATGGGAACGGGGGAATTATGGAATGGGATGGGAATGGGAACAGGGGAATTATGGGATAGGGATGGGATTGGGAATGGGAATGGGGAATTATGGGATGGGATGGGGACAAGATGGGGATGGGAATTGTGGGATCGGGATGGGAATGGGAACGAGAATGGGAATGGGATGGGGATGGATGGGAAGAGGATGGGGATGGGATAGGAATGGGATGGGGATGGGGGGATTGGGGGAATTGGGATGGGAATTATGAGATCAGGAATGGGAATGGGATGGGGATGGGAATGGGGGGATTGGGGGATTGGGGATGGGAATGGGAATGGGGGAATTGGGATGAGAATTGTGGGATCAGGGATGGGGATGGAAACGGGACGGGGATGGCAGTGGCAGAGCAGCCGCAGCTCCCCTGGGAATCCCTTCCCATTCCCAGTTTCCCATTTCCATTCCTGATCCCATTCCCAGTCCCGTTCCATTCCCAGTTCATCCCAGTTTATCTCAGTTCATCCCAGTTGATCCCAGTTTATCCCATTCCAGGATCACCTGCTGAGGGAGGGCATGGCCTGGTTGGACTCTCAGGCCCCGCAGGAGCCGCAGTTTTGGTTTCCGGCGCTTTTCTCGGAGCTGCATTCGCACCACAGCCCCCCCTGAATCCCAAAAAACCCCAAAA